CCACCCTCCATGCACACACTACCCCCCCCTCCCCCTCCATAAACACAATACCCGACGCTCTTCACATATGCACCTCAACAACTCAGAAAACAGACATAACTGTGGAAAAACAAACAACCAAACTAGCAATAACGAACCCACAGCAAGTAAACAAACTGTCTAATTAACGAGGGATAAAAACTCCGCCCGGACCCCTTTCCTTTTCCAGAAGTCCAAGGGAATTGTGATCTGTCAAAATTTACCGCGTTTCTTTAATCATGGTTATTATTTTGATAAACTGAGTCTCAGGGACAGTGTTGTGCAATTAAATGTAAACTGATTGCACTGATAAAAAGCTGCTTTTGGTCTAGAAGTTGTGTGGCCATTTTTAGTTAGTATTTGCTGTCGTCGCCCCTTTTTCACGTTCTACTTCCCTTTCATATATATGTTTATGTGTTGTATGTTTGAGAAAGTACGATCAAGACAAGAGAGAGAGAGAGTGAGTGAGTGAGTGAGTGAGTGAGTGAGTGAGTGAGTGAGTGAGTGAGTGAGTGAGTAAGTGAGTGAGTGAGTGAGTACTGACCTGAGGAGAAGCGCTCGCGGCTCACACGCTCCAGGAACGAGGTGTTGTATCGGACGACGTTCTTGTGGCTCAGCTTGGCCATCAGACGCGCCTCTTGCACCACCTGGGGGCGGGAACAACAGTCTCTCACCTGCTTTGTAACCATTGCTTCTGATTTAGTCAGTTTTACCGCACTTGCCTGTGAGCTGTGCATGGAAACAAACATACAAATACATTGTCCATGACCCCCCACTGTGGACAACACACACAACACACACAACACACACAGACAGACAGACAGACGGACAGGAAGACAAGACACACAGACAGACAGACAGACAGACGGACGGACAGACGGACAGACAGACAGACAGACAGACGGACGAACTGACAGACAGACAGACACACAGACAGACAGACAGACAGACGGACGGACAGACGGACGGACAGACAGACAGACAGACGGATGGATGGATGGACAGGAAGACAGACAGACAGATGGACAGATGGACGGAGAGACAGACAGATGGAGAGACAGACAGACGGACAGACAGACAGACAGACGGACGAACTGACAGACAGACAGACAGACGGACAGACAGACATACAACTTACCCAAGTTGCCCAGTGTGAAGGAGGCCAGGGAAGTGTCCAGTTTTTCCATTTGTATATAGAACACCAAGCAGCACTGAAGCGGAGACACAGCCAAAAGAGATGAATTGATAGTTGCATAAGACTCAGAGAGAGTCCAAGTGATGCACACTTGTGAATATAGACCGTGTCATGGGTGGGATCTATGTAACATGGGAGGGAACATGGGAGGGAACTATGTAACATGGGAGGGAACATGGGAGGGAACATGGGAGGGAACTATGTAACATGGGAGGGAACTATGTAACATGGGAGGGAACATGGGAGGGAACATGGGAGGGAACTATGTAACATGGGAGGGAAC